AGTTGTGACCTAATTAGATGTAAACTTCAGCTTATATTACTAGTTTTCCACATAGCAAACATGCAAAGCAGTTGTCTATCATAAACACTAACTTACGTGACAAATTCCTAACAAAACTGTACAAAATACACGTCCGTTTAAACCGGTGTCTCCACCTGCAGAGCGCGGCCATATTGTTTACAGAAAAAAAGGCCCCGCTAGACGGGTCCATCTGCGAGCTGTCTGCTAAGTTGCCTGATTATCTGTCTTTTTGTGTTTACGTTTTAGTTCTTTCTTACATTAGTATTTTGAAATTATATAACATGGTAATAATGTAATATAATGATTATTGAAAATGATTTATTGAAAATCGCACACATGAAAATGTCCTTCTAACGAGTCCCTTTATATCAGAGATGTTTCTGTTCTGCATTCAAAGTATTCAGAGTCATTTCAGTGCACATCCACCTTCTACAGATAGTGGAGTCAGGATTTGATGTACATCAATTCACATTTTCTACCACTTCATCCAATTCAGAATCGCAGGGGTGCTGGAGCCTATCCCGGCAAGCAACAGGCACACACCAGTCCATCACAGGGTAGACACACAGACCCAAACACGCACGGTCCAAACACATGTTGTAGGTTAATTATCTTCTGGGACAATTGGCCCAGGTGTGTGTGTGTGTGCATGTTTGAGTCTGTGGATCCACCCTGCATTGTGTTCTGTCCAGGGTGTAACCTGCTCTCCCGCGATCCTGAACTGAAAGTGTCAGTTAGAAAATTGGATGGATGGCCTGAGAACAGGTGGTATTAAGTTTGACTTCAGTCAACTCAGAAAAAGTATGGGTTTGTTCTGTGGTAAAGGAGGTAACCTGTGAAAATGTTAAGGGTCACTGCAGTGAAGAGGAAGGTTAAGTTGGACACAGAAGGGGAAAACTTCAAACCTCTGGTGGGACACTGCAGTTGTACCGTTGAATAAGCTACTTTACTCCCATTGCTCCAGTATAATACCCAGCTGTATAAATGGGTCCAAATGAAATTAACTTTGGATAAAGACATCAGCCAAAAATTACTAATTAAAGCCATTTTAGGTCACCAATGATTTTGTTATCTGGAAGTCTAGTTTTCTGCAAGTGCGTGTAGCTAATTGCTATGTGAAGGTACTGTACTTGTTGTACAACATGCAACAAGGTCCTTTGTTTCACAAAGACAAGTGTTTTCTGTCACTTGCCTAATCTGTGCTGAATATCAGACTAAAAAAAGTGTTAAGAGCATTGTAGTTTCACAACTGCAGGGTCCATCAGATTTAAAGTCTCTTTAAATCAACAGTATACCCCTACTGTGTGTTACAGTGTAGCCAATTCTGTCCATTAATATGAAGTGGATAAAGTAATGGCAAAGATGAAAAAAACTGCAAATGTTGGTGACGCACAGTTTAGTGAATAGGTAACCACATCCAGCTTTTTATTGGAAGTTGCTAGAAAATGGGCTTCAGGAATAAAGCCAGACAGCTTGTTTCAAACACCCACTGCCCTGTGTGTAAAACGTGCCTCTCCCCCATTCTCTTCCTGTG